CATCAAGGGTAGCCTCAAACTTGTGTTCCTCCTGCTTCAGTCTCCTCAACGTCTCAGACTACAAGGCATGAGTTACCAAGCCCAGCAAGAAGAAATTTTAATTAAATTTTATTTGGTAAGTATCACTAGTGCTTATTTTTCATTTTTCTCTCAAAGAACAGTCACTCTTATTGTCATTCACTAAGGAATACTGTTACAAAGGAAAAGGAAGCCATACTGAACATAGATATACATGGTTCATATACTTTAAAACACACAGGTAGTAGCCAGGCATGGTAGCACATGCCTGCAATCCCAGCACTCTGGAAGCTGAAGCAGGAGGATCACTTCAAGTTTGAGGCCAGCCTAGGCTACACAGTGAGTTCAAAGTCAGCCTAAACTGCATAACGAGACCTTGTCGCAAAAGACAAAAATGAAATTCAAACAAACCACACAGATAATTTCTGACTTGATGTAAAGGAGTTCAGAGAGAAGTCAGCTAGGTGCATTTTCGTACTAAATTTCTAAAACTTACATAAGGAATGAGAAAAAAAACCCTAAAGAATTGTAGATTACAAGATTAAGACAGGATCAAACAATAACATTCATGTGACCCAAGCAAAGGCAAATATACTGGTTACAACCACTCACACGTACTCTTGCTTATACTAACAATGTTGCCAACTTAATTTGGAAATCACACTTAGTCCAAAAACTTTTCAAGATTATATACCTCATCAAAGAGTCATTTGTTGATTTGTTTTGTTTTGGGTTTTGTTTCTGTGTAACTGGGGATTGAACTCAGGCCTTTGCACTTGCCAGGGAAGCGCTTATTCCACTGAGCCATCTCCCCGGCCCCCTTTTTTGTCTTTTTGAGACAGGGTCTCATTATGCAGTTCAGGCTGGCCTTTGTAGCCTAGGCTGCTCTCAAACTCTAAATGATCCTCCTGCCTCAGCCTCCAGAGTGCTGGGATTACAGGCTTGAGCCACCACACCGGGCCAAAGAGGATATTTGTTTAATTTTTGTTTTAAATTTTTTAAAATTAATTTATTTTATTTATGTGTGTGTGTGGCCATCTCAGCCCACCTGGGGGCAGCAGGGCTGGCTGGCATGTGGTGCTGGGGGGATTGAACCGCAGTCCCTGTGCTTTGTGCTTTGCTAAGCTTGTTCTAAGTAGGTGTTTTAGACCACTGAGCCATCTCACCAGCCCCATTTGTTTAATTTTCAAAGAACTGTCACAGTATACTATAGTATATTTCTATCAGCCATAGCTTTAAAGTTTACAATTTTCTCCCTGATTTCTACTTTAGTCCTTCATTGAGCATGGGGCCACACTTCAGCACAAAATCATTTTAAGGCAGTTTTACTGTTTTTGGAGCTCTTGATTTTAAAAAGCTTTGAAAGAACGGGACTTCAGAGTTTAAAAATCATACACTTACTGAGCTTCCCTTTGTGGTTCCATAACACAGGATAAGTTTTCGGTAATTATAAACACGAACTTCTGAGAAAATATTGAGATGAGCAGGTATGTCTAAGCAAAACAGGAAGAAAGAAAATTAATAGTATAAATGCTAAGTCTTAAAATACAACTATGAGAAGCTGAGGCTATAGCTCAGGGGCACAAGTGCCGGCCTGGCAAGTGCAAGGTCCTGAGTTCAACTCCCAGTACCAAATTTTTTTTTTTTTTTTTTTTTTTGGCGGAACCGGGGATTGAACTCAGGACCTTGCACTTGCCAGGCAAGCACTTATTCTGAGCTATCTCCTTGGCCCCCAAAATTTTTTTTAAAAATACAACTATGAAAAAGAGATTTTGGCAATATCATAAATGTAAATAAAAAGGCCTGTAAAATAAGTAGTTATTTTTGTAACAATCAGATTTATTGGTACATTTTAAGTTTATATAATGATGACATTCATCATAAATTTGTTCCTGTACATGATACAACTTTTTTTTCTCTCTATTTCCCTATCCTCCAATCCCTCCTCCTCTCCCACTTACAAAAGTTTTGTTTCCATTTGTCCCTTTTCTCATTTACTTTTTTAACTTTTTCCTTTCCCCCACCCCCTTCCCAATTTCCCTTCCCATTTGAACATTTTCTTCCTATTTCACAATTATCTATTATTTATCCCTATTTATCCTTTTAGTTTTTCAAAGAATCAGTGCAGGACTTACACATAAGTATTCAATTTATTTTGCCTGTGGTCTCAAGGTGCATCCATTTACTTAGAAATGTCCCACTTAGCCTTCTAGCTTTTTTTTTTTTAAGGCAACAGTATAAATAGTATGCCACAAAACACCCAGGACAAGGAAGAGGACAGACACTGAAGCCTTCTAGCAGAACGGCTAGAGGGTTTCAATTCCAGCTCTATGACTGACTTGTTATGTGACCTCTAGCAATGTCCTTAGTATCCGTGACTTGTCTTATTTGAAAAATGAGGAATATTAACAATATCATAGAAAACTGTGGGGATTACAGGAATTAACAGAAGTAAATTATATGGCAGGTAATAAATAAGTACATTATAATAACAGGTACACACAGGTAGAGCTGAGTTTAAAAATATCTAGAAACAAAAGAATCTTAACAGTGATTGTCTCTGGGGGAAGGAAACAAGGATGAAAGGGACACATTTTTATTAGACATTTTTTAAAATAATGTTCATCTTTACTTGAACTAGAAACGAAGCAGGGGAGGAATTTAAAGAGAAGAGGGCTGGGTAGATGGCTCAGTAGAAGAAATGCTTCCCTGGCAAGCGCAAGGGCCCCAGTTCCACCAAAAAAAGAAAAGAAAGAGAAGATTATCCCAGGTACCTGGTAGACAACGTGCAAACTCCAACACACACTCATATAATCGTGCAATGCTGTTCCAGTCATTAAGGAACATTTCAACCACTTTTCTACCACCAACAGGTTCAGACAACAGATTTTCATATGTCAGGTAAACATGCCGGGATGGTCCTACAGGATTAAGGGAAGATCACTAGTAATAAATACTAAAAGAAAAATCCCCAAATATGCAAAGGCCAAACGTATGAAACATCTCACCTTGCTCCCTTGTAGAAGTCCCATTAAGTGGACAGTTTGCAAACACCAACTCTGCCACCCATGTGCGGTTATTTCTGCCTTGTAATCGGAAAGTGCAATCAAGAAGAGAGCGATCCAGAGCCTTCTGGGTTTCCTCATTTACACCCTTACAGGGAGGAATTCTGGCGATGAAAGAGAGCATATGAAATGCACGTCCAGAAAGACAAGGCACAAGGAACATGACAAGCAGTATGTGACATCGGATCTATAGTTAAATTTGACTTTGAATACCTTCCACAAAGGAGAGAGCAATTTCACAGTAATTAATAGCATTTATCCTATTTAGCTCCTATCACCCTGGATTAGGACTTCTTACTTTAACAAAGTAATGATTTGTCATTATTCATAATCCTCTTATTTAAAAAGACCATACATAGAAAAATCAAGAAGAGTGCTTGCGCAAAATCAGAACATCTTCTAGAAAAAGTTAAGGAGAACAAAATACTTGCGAAGCTACCCTTTGAAGGCATGACAACGAAGTACAAAGAATGAGGGCTGAGGAGTCACGAACATGTATTCTAATTCTTACTCAGCCTCCCCTAACTCCTCGGGATGTGAGTTTCCCTGACTGTAATATAAAGAATTACCTTATGGGTCACTGGTGTGGGGGGCAAAATGAGAGAATGCTGTGCCTGAGAGAGCACATGTTCATGTATGTGAACTCCTGAGTTGCCATGACAACAATTCTAGCTCATTATCCCCCCCTCGGGCCCTTCTACCTCTATAAAGCTCTTACTATGATGGGGCTTTCCATGTAGTAGCTCATCTAAGATAGAATGTCACATATACATGCATGCACACACCACATATGAAATACAGTAGCTTTTGAGATCTTAAAAATATCTATCAATTTTCCTTCCCCAGTTTTATCTCACTTGTCATAAAACATGAGGTAATATGTTATTTCAATAATAGATAAAATAATGATGTGATATATTAATTGTACTTTATCTCGTTTTATGTATTTGGTACAGGGTCTTGCTGCACAGCTCAGACTTGCAGTGATCCTCGTCTCAGCCTCCCCAGCACTGGGATTACAGGCATGTGCCACAATGCCTGGTTTTAGGGCCAGCACATCAGGGGTTCCAGCACGAAAGGCAGTCCCGGGGACAGAAGTCAGATCCTTGCACTTGCCGGGTAGGTGCTTAGACCGCCGAGCTATCACCCCAGCCCTTTCTTTTTTTGAGAGTCTTGTTATGTAGTTCAGGATGGCCTTGAACTATGTAGCACAGCATGACCTCAAACTCATGGCATTCATTCTGCCTCAGCCTGACTGCTGGGATGGCAGGCATGCACCAGTGCGCCCAGCTTACACATTATCTCTTAACCCATTTTCCATTTGCCTCAAGAAATTGGCAGATTCAAGTTCTAGCCTTATTCCAAAAGTCTGCCAAAAATATTTTTTTTTTTTTACTTTACTATGCTTTGTATACTAGCAACTTTTATTATGAATTAAGCTATTGTACTATAAAAATGAAATGCCAAGATTGTTCCATTTGTTATCTGTTGGTTTTTTTCTTTTTTTCATTGGGGTTTTCTATTTTTTTGAGACAGGGTTTCACTATGTTGTTCAGGCTGGTCTTGAATGCACTATGTAGCCCAGGCTGACCTCATACTTGCAGTGATCCTCCTGCCTCAGCCTCCCCAGTGCTGGAATTAAAGGCATTTTGCATGAGTAATGGGTTTGACAATTTGCAGCTTCTAGCTTGAGAACACTAGGCAAAACCACCACTACTCAGACTAATAAAACTCCAACTGACATGAAGGAAGGGTGTACATCTTGGCTGATGAGCTCTAAATTCAAATGTTTCTGTGAATTATCTGACTGGTTACACCTCAGCTTCTAGAAAGCAAATTTTTGGAGAATGAAGAGCAGATGTGCGTAATATACTGGCTACCAAGAGATGTGACTGCTTTGAAAATGTATTTTCTAATTTTTGTGTTGTTAACCATTTGCATGTTTGGACAACTTTTGGACTTTTCCAAGTTGCAACCTCTCATATGCAAATTCAACTTGAGATATGGCATTTGTTCTATGAGACACAGTTCAGTTTTCACGAATCTGTAGTTCCTTACTTTGGTCCTCATAAGTTCCAACAATTTACTCAGGGAAAGCCCTTTCAGCTCAGCTGAGTTTTGGTGTGGTGCCATAGGTTTGGGCTACACTTGCTGGTTTAAGCAATGTCAGGGTAAAGACCCAAATTCTAAAGCTAAAAAATACAGGTTGGGTATGTGCACCATTTGTCCTTCAGTTTGTTGCAGCACTTACAGAGGAGTGCCCGGGGCGATGCTATTTGGTATTTGACAAGTTTTGCACCAGTACTGCACTTCTTGACAAGTTCAATTCAGTGGGACATCAGGCAAGTTTCAGTGAGAAAGGATCGCATTGACAAAGCACCTCTGGCAACAAGTATAGCTCTTGGAGGCGACAGGCCTCTGGCATCTGGCATGGAGCCAGGGCTGTCCCTGGCTTCTCCTCCTTAGTCCAGTATCTCCCTGTGGGTGTCTCCAGCAGCTCTTTCGGCCCCAGTGTAGGCTCCAGTATTCAAAGGCAAGCTTGGGAACTCATGAGGATCCCAGGGACAGCATCACCTTAGCTGACTTGGGGTCACCAGGCTTTCCATCGGTCATGAGGGTAGGGCCCAGAAGGCTAGGTGGTCTGATAGGGAGTTGGGGGCTGCTGGGGCACCAGCTGCTGCTGATTGTTTCTTCACTTTTGGCATTGTGGTTGCACCAAGGCTGCAGCGCGGGGCAGAGTGTTGGGGATTGGAGGGCAGGGAAGAGTGAGCACACGGGATTCTGCTTCTGCTTCCAAGTCAGGCCAACACCCTACCCCACCCTCACCACCCTACTTCCAGAAGGCTGGTGCGAATGGCTTCATCTTCGATCTTCGGTCTTCGGTGCACGTGGCATGCGACTTCGGCTGTATTTAAGGGCAGTATTTAAGTTGTTAAAAGAGCCTTCCCCACCCCCACAGGAAAGCACCACAACCTCCTTGCAGTGTGCCATAGAGGTGGCAGGCTTTTGGGCCGGAAGGCCTGTCTCACTTTTATTATTTCTGTATTGCTCTAATACTACCCACGATGTGGCACATGCCTGTAATCCCAACACACTGGAGGCTGAGGAAAGAGGATCCTTGTGAGTTGGAGACCAGCCTGGGCTACAAAGCGAGCTTAAGGCCAGCCTGAGCTGCATTATGTCTCTGCATAAGACGTCATTCAACTTATAGCATTCTGGTTTTAGTAGTGGCATTTCCATTTGCAAAATATAGTAATTCCTGATTACTAAAAATTAAGCACTAGGCAGTAAGCCACAATTTTTTTTGTTCTTGAAAGAGAAATGGGTTAATTCATAAAGAAAATGGTTACTTCTCAGGTTTGGCATAATGATTATGTCAAGTGAAAAAAAATACAAAATATAGGTAACTAAGTGGCACACGCCTGTAACCAAGCGCTGGGGAGACCGAGGCAGGAGGCTCACTAAGAGAGTCTGAGCCGCGTAGTAAGACCCTGCACCAAATTAATAATAAATAAATCTTTAAAAATATAGAATCTCATGGGGCCAGGCAGATGGCTCAGTAGAATAAGCGATTCCCTGGCAAGTGCAAGGGCCCGAGTTCAATTCCCAGTTCCGGGGAAAAGAGAAAAAAAAAAAAACAGAATCTTGGTTTAGTAGTTCTTACTCAGAATGTAACACTTCAAACAGGGTCTCTTAATGTTGGCAATTCTGACATGTTGAGCTAGACCATTCTTTGTTGTGTGCTGGGGGGCGCATACAGCCCTGGCCTCTACCTACTCAATGTCAGAAGTCCCTCCCACTCTTCAATTAATAACCAAAAACATCCCCAGACACTGCCCTAGGTTCAAGAACTGCTGACCCAGAACAAACAACTTAGGAGAGGAAAATAAATGACAGAGATTGCATGTGGAAAAAACAAATAGAGGGGAAAAACACTGTAAGTCACATAAAAATTAATACAGTACTAAAATTTTCCCATTAAAACTTTATCATATCTCAATATGCAGCTTTTAATTTTTTCAAATGTTCTTTTATACTGTGAACTTTTTACCAGTACCAGGAAGATTCTGCCCAAATACACTTTAAGTAGCTATGGAAATTACACACATAACATACATGTTCTTCAACTTGACAAGTATACTGAGGACCTGTCTGTCCCCACACTCAAGACATAGCTCTCCTCATAGGAGTTATAAAGTAACCCATTCAGATACTTTTTTTTTTGAGACGGGTCTCACTGTAGTTCAGGCTGGCTTTGAATTCAATATGTAGTCCAGGTTGGTATCCAACTCACCATAATCCTCCTGCCTCAGCCTCCTGAGTGCTGGGATTATGGGTGTATGCTACCACACCCAGCAGATATTTCATTTTGAGCTTGAAAATGTAACTGAAGAATTATCTTCTTTTTATATGAAGTAGGTTTTTCATGAACCCCACCTGGTTAGAAAATGAAAGCACCGAAGCTGACAGGTTTTCAAGTGAGAGGTAACATAAGTGTAAGACTCCTCTCAACTTCTATGAGACAGCAAGACTATTCTGTGCCACTTTCATAATCTGTGATATAAAAATCAATTGACTCCACTTCAAGGAACCTGTTACATATTTACTCGCTTAGAAGGTTATAAGTGTAACAGAATACAAAAGAAACTACAGTTACAACTTTAATCACCCTGGCATGATAGGGAGCTGGGGACTAGGTTTCCCCAGAAGTATGACAAAACTGCTACAAATTTAAAATATTACAAAATAATATTCTACCAATTCGAAAGTTTTTCAATCTTAAGCAGCTACTTCTGGCTGATTTCTCTCCAGTCCTTCTGAGCAGTGAACAAACTGAAGAACTTAGCTAACGTCCTCTAGGGCAGAGGGGTGTCTGCTTTGTTCCGAGGGCCTTTACAAGTATCAGTAAGCACTCTCTGGTCTCACAGTGCAAAATCAGAGAGATCAGGCAGAGTAGTAGTCAAAGCAGTACAAGCACGCCTAAAAGAAATGAAGAAGGCTTCATAAACGCTGCACAGGGCCGGGGAGATGGCTCAGTGGAATAAGCGCTTCTCTGGCAAGTGCAAGAGCCCGGGTTCAATCCCTGGTTCCACAAAAAAAAAAAAAAAAAAAAAAAAAAGGGCTGCACAGCCACACAAAGAGGGAGAAAAACAAGTGTTGTGCCTGTGCATTAGTAGCAAAAGCTGTAGGATGTAAACATGCACACACCCACACACCAACGCACACACACATGATGGAGGAGACAAAAACCCCAATGGGTATGGCCAGGGGACAAAGACCACTGCTTACGACTATAATCCGAGTACTGAAGGTAGGAAACTTGTCTGAGAGCTCAAAACTAGGCATCATAAGCATGTAGCTCTCAGAATGTGGCTCTAAAACTGTGTGTATGCTGTTGAGATCGAGGCTCTTCTGCACAAGGTCACAGGTCTGTGAAGCTGAACAAATGAAGGCGTTTCTATGATGTATCAGATAGTGTGGTGTCAGAGAAGCACCAAGGAGGCCTGCTCAACAAATTCTCGAGGAGATATAGCTGAACAAGAATAGTATTTTTAACAAAATAGAGGAAAATGTGCTCTATTTTAGGCAAACCAATTCAAATCCAAACACAGAATTATTATATTTCCTACTAAATCTCCTGTAAAAACAACTGTTTCCTGCCTATTTTGTGTAAAGATGATGTTAAGATAATCAGCTAGGAGTGTGATGTACTGGTCTACAACTATAATCCCTGTACTCTGAGAGGTCCAGGCAGGAGGATCACAAGTTCAAGTCCAACTTGCGCAACGCCCGCAGTGAGACTGTCTCAAAAATAAAAAGGGCTAAGGATGTACCTCAATGCAAAGGCTTTGGATTTGAGCCCCAGCATCATGAAAGTTTGAAAAGCTCTTCTGCCTCTTCAGTCCTTAGTACCTAAAGTGAGTACCACGGCACCTGGGTCATGTGCACAGTACTGTACTTGCTAGGCCTTTCCACTTTCCACAGAAACAAACAGATTCTCATGTAACAGAAGTTAAAACCCCACTGTGCAAATTTGAAGATATGCTGGGAATTCACTAAACAAAAACTGCTTATATATTAACCAAATATATGTTAAACAACATCTAAGAAACAATAAAATGCTTTCCCACTCAAAACAAAAGCAAAAACCCCTTCCATCTTGTGGACCAAAAATCTGACCTCTTTCATGGTACTCCACATTGTATCACTGTCTACAGCCCACATAACCACATTAGCTTTACTTTTAAGCATCTTTTGGCTCCTACTTCTCTGTTCACAGAGAACCAAGCCTTCTGTTCATCTCCTTTCGTATACTCATCCTTGGTAATGTAATTTACTTCCCCAGTTTAATCCACGATGAAGACGTTAGCTACTTCCTCTCTCAGATCTGTAATGTGAGCTTAACACAAATCCCCAACTGCTCAGAGGACATCAAGGCCTAACTTAGCACAGTCCTTTCTGCAATGTCCCTTGTCTCAGAAACAACCACCATCATCCATCATTTGCCCAAGATAAAACTAAGAAGCATCTTTGCTACCTCCCCTCCACCTTTCTCACCTCCAACATCAACTGAATCTGAAATAACTTACCTCCTCAGTCCTTGTGAATTCTAACCCAGTCCAAGCCACCAACTGTGGTATGAAGCGACTCGACAACTGGTCTCACTGCTTCAGCCTTGTTCCCTCCAGTTTACTCTCCACACTGCTATCAAGTTGAGCTTCAGAAACCCACCTAACATCAGTTTTTGCTTAAAATCATCTGACAACGTCTTAGTGCCACTGGGATACAGTTTAAATTGCTTAAGGGCACTTACAAAAGCCCGAGAGGATCTCACCTTCCTGCTTACATCTCCTGTCTCATCTCTCTAGTGCCTGCCACATGGAACTCCTTCAGGCTCCAGGTTACCAAGCTCTCTCCTGCCTCCCCTTCACATTAGCAGGTATCCCCACTACACCTCCTTTTCCTCTAGTTATCACCCTCCTTCAGCCTGAGTACCACTGATGCTTCCTCAGGGGTACTCCTGATTTCTGAAGCACCCATGTACCTCCAGGAACCCACAGTATCCTGAAAGGCCTTATCAGAATTCAAGCCTGACACACAGTCCCATTTGGTAAATATCTGCTGAAAGAGTAAAAGAATTGTAGAGAAAAGACATCCTAAAATACCATGTTGTTCTGAACTGCACTCCACCATTTAAGGGAAATCTTCCCTTAGATGTAAGTCTATGCAGAAATCCGAAACATCCAGAGGTTCTGACTCTCCTTCATGCTCCTCCTGTACAGGAGGAGAGCAACAGCCTCTGGCGGTGTGACTGCAAAGTGGGTCATCCAGCGTGTCACATGACAAGGGCTTACTTTAATAAGCGAATAGCGTGGCTGAAGCCATCACCTTCCACTTGCACTCCTTGGTGTGGAATTTCCAGATTGGACAACTGGAAAAAGAAAAGCACAATCATAACAGACCATTAATTTTACAAAGGAACCAACCTTTTCTACGTATTCCTGTCTCTACCCTCAAGGCACCCGTGGCCAGTCTTACCAAAGTCACGACATTCTCATTGGTCATGAACACTGTTCCTGTCATTAGATTTCCTGAGAAACTACGTTAAGCCCAGTGAAACTCAGCGCTGCCCTCAGAGTCTCTAGTTTAGGGTTTTTTGTTTTTTGTGGAACCGGGGATTGAACTCAGGCCCTTGCGCTTGCCAGGGAAGCACTTACTCTACTGAGCCATCTCCTGGCCCAGAGTCTCTAGTTTAAAAAACATTTCCACAGATGACAAATCTTCAAAATTGAGATTAACCTAATTTTTGTAACAAGTTAAAAGTAGCTCAGAATCCAATCTGGTGGTTTCACACGAGCCACCTGAAAAACGAAGACTGGTTTCCTTGTGTAAATTCTACTGTCTGTTCAAACAAGTTTGAGTCACAGCCGTATCTCATTTCAAATTGTAATATTTGTAAATTTACTGCTTTGCTGAAATACATTTTCATTTTTAATAATTTTGTTTTTTAATAAAGTATTTTCTGCCTGAGACCAAATAAAATTTCCAATTTATGTACCTACTCAACAAGATCTCATTCCCAACTGGATAACTCAGAAAGTGAGTTAAGATGATGAACGCAGGGTTAGCATCTGAAACCCTTTCTAAAGAATTACAAGTTGTCAGGCAATGTCAGCAAGTCATCTGATCTACCAAAGGAAGGCTTGCCTTTCACGTACTGTCAGGTCCCCTTTGATAGAGGACTTGTATGTACCTTGTTCCAGAAAGGATTTCAGTTAGTTCTTAAGTATTTAATTGACTCTGGCCTGGACGGGGTAGAGGTGTAGAAAAGTAACTACTGAGCAGATGGGCACCTGGTGGGGGATTCAGATGTAAGACTGCGAAGGCGAGATGGGATGGCCTCACAGATACTGCCCCTCTCCTAGCAGTCAGAGATAGAAACAGCCCTGGTACGATTAGATTTAGTTATTCACATCTCAGGGTAAATTACTTGTGTTTGCTTTTGTTTTTAATATAGCCAGAATTTTCACTGGGAGAAGACAATTTTTAAAACCTTGACTGAATTCAGTAGAGTACTACAGAAATGTCCTTAAATGTTCTGTGTGTGCAACAGGTATAGCAGTCCAGAGATGGGGCCCAGAGAAGACAAACGACTCCAGTTAGAATGCTCCGTGAAATCCAGTCTGTGGGCAGGGAGAGGACACAAATGCACTGCAATGTCCCAGCACCATGTATCCTCCCATCCCACTCCAAAGGTTAGAGTTGAATGACACTCATATCATCAATCCAAGCGACACAATGAAGAGTCCAAGAACACACAAAATGGATACTCTGTTTAGTTTAGGAGCCATGGCCAGCTCCCAGCCAAGAGGATATTCACCAAGCTCACTCAGTTCTAGGAACTGGGGGACATCAAGGCCATGAGTACCTATTTTAGGTGCTTACTTCCTGGCTTGGGTTTCTCTCTAAGCTATTGTGTTCATCACAATTTCATACCTTATCCTCTGCTTGAAGATCCCAAAGCCCTCTAAAGCAGGGGTTGGCAGATAATGGTTTGTGAGACGAATCAGCCTGTCTGGCCGTTTTTATAAAATGAAGTTTATCAAGACACAGCCACGCTCATTTGTTTAAATATCAACTATGACAACAACTGATTGAGTTCTAAGAGAGATCATAGGACCCACAAAGCCTAAACTGCCTAGCCCTTTATAAAAATAGGTTTTCCAAATAAAATTTAAAAATAAAATAAAATAATAGAAAAAAGGTTTTCCAACCAGTTTCAAAACTATTTTCATACTCTCCTCAAGGCTATCATCATCAGTCCAATGATGAAATGAAAGTCCGTTTTCCTGTTTCCAAATCACTTCATCATTTACACTAACTTACAAAAGAGGAAGTGTAACAAAACTGAAAACTCTGGAGACAAATTAGGGTTTTAATCACTTATGAAGGGTTGTCAAATCGCTGGGCAAACCTCTTTTTGGAAATATAAAGAATTGACATATTGGTACCTCTGTCTACTTTCATGCCTTGGACTCACAGCTATACAGCCTTCTTTTTGTTTTGAGACAAGGTCACACCATGTAGTTCAGGCCAGCCTCAAAAGCACAGCAATCCTCCTGCCTCGGCCTCCCAGGTGCTAGATTACAGGTGTGTACACCATGCCTGGCACAACTATATGTTGTCTTTTTCTTTTCTTTGTCTTTTGAGACAGGGTCTCACTATGAAGTTCAGGCTCGCCTTGAGCTCACTTTTTAGCCCAGGCTGTCTCGAACTGTCAATGATCCTCCTGCCTCAGTGTCCCCTGAGTACTGGGATTATAGGTGTACACCACCTGATTCTGCACAAGTTTTATTGTTTCTCCCATGCAACAAAAGTAAAAATATAGTTTAATATTTATTCTGATTTCCCATAAAGCAGCTCAGTTTTACTAGAGCTTAAGCTACATGCACGGCTTCACCAACTCAAAAAAGGAGCCACCCCTTCAACTAACCAAAGCTAATAGGTTTAAGAGTCAAAAAAGGTGTTAATCTTTAAAAGTTCTCTGTATGTTTTCACTGAGAATTTACTTTACATAATGAGCAGAAGGACCAGAATCTGTAATCAGAGACAAAATGACATATTTTGCACGTACACCGTGAAATGCCAGGACTGTGGCCCACCTTTCCAAAGATGAACAGGATAACCAGTCTAGTTCTCCTACTTGAATCCATTAATTAAACAATGCATTTTAAAAATTACTTGTTCATTTAGGATATCCAGAGTTGTTCCAAACAATTACCTCCAACCGAAGTCCTACGAATGGCATGTTTGTATCACACATAGCAACAAAATGAGCTAGAACTTTATTGAAGGCACACGTTTCTCCTGATCGTTTGGTTTTCTTAGATTCTATTGGACATGAATCATCAGACAACTAGAAGTTAAGTAAAAACACACTAGGTTAAAAAAATATATATGACACAATCCAGGGCAGTTAAACTACTGTAACCAAGCTCAGAGTTCACCAAAACAAATGTTACACTCTTTCAACAAATGTTTATTGAGCAAATACTAACCTAAACACTTTAAGTTAGTAGTAAATAGTGTGTTTAACAAATTTTCTTGTGGAAAATGACGTATAACGAGTACCTAAAACAGAAGCAGATCCAAGAAAATGCAGACAATTGCTACTTAAACATCATAGCTGTCCTTTTTAAAACTGTATTTATTTCTTTCCCATATTAAAAACAGGTAAAAATATACAAACAAGTTAATATATCCGAAATCTGTGCTCATTTCCATGCATGACCCCACCTTGCGCTTGGTACCAGTTCTGGTCTGTTTCCCAGGTTTACGGAAAATCATGTCCTGGACGTTTTCCTTGAACTGCTGCAGTAGCAGCGCCATAACAGGGCCATCTTCACGATCTGCAGCACTCACAGACAGGAAGTAGTACTTGTACGACAGCTGCGTGGGTTTATTTGGCACCTCCAGCATCTCTACAACCTACAAAGACCCAAATCGGAAACCAAACTCAGAGAAACAGCAAGTGCTGGGTGTTTCCCCCTTATGTCAAGTAGGGCTCAGAATTATAAACCTAATACAGAAGATTTTTTAAAAAATAAGGGCACTGAGTTCAATCCCCAGTTCCGCCAAAAATAAGAAATAAAAATAAAAAAATAGAAATAAAGGCAAATAGTACAGCGGTCAGTGTTCGACTCCCACCATGCCGTGCCAGCCCCGGCCCCAAGGCACACTGAGACGGTGATTGAGACTGGGCATGGTGGTGTGTGCCTGTAATCCCAGCACTTGGGAGGCTGAAAACAGGAGAATCACTGAGTCCGATATAGTAGTGAGACCCTGTGTTAAAATACATAAAAATAAAAAATAAAGGCAAATCAATTCTGATGTCAAAAGCAGCATTCCTAGTAAACACATAATTTGTTTTCTAAGAAATAGATCAGACTAAACAAGAAAGATACAAGTAAAAGTAACCATAAACTATAGCAAATGGAATACTTAAATTATTAGCATTAGGTGTTCTTCATAGTCGTGCTTTACCTTATTAAGTGGGAAAAAAGCATGCCTAAGGCCAGTGGGTCTGCTACATTTTCTAGAATGTATTTTACTCTACGTATGGAATTTTAAGTTGCCACACTGCCTCCCTTCACTATTAAAACATCCTTAAAAAGCCAATATGGCAGAGAAAATGACAACTATATCTTATTAGAATGGAAAAATAAAGCTTGAGTTTTCAAATGAAAAATGTAATCCCTGGGGGCCAGGGAGATAGCTCAGTGATCCAAGTGCCTGCCTGGCAAAGCGCAAGGACCTGGGTTTGATCCCTGGGTTACCACATGCCATGCTGGCCCACTCTGGGCTTGCCCACCAAAACTGGGCGCGGTGGCACACACCCGTAATCCCAGGGCTGGGGATCCTGAAATAGTAGGATCACTACAAGTCTGAGCTGCATAGCAAGACCCTGTTTCAAATAAAAAAAGAAATTATGTTGAAAAAACTTCAAACAATGTAGTCACTGTGAGGATAATTGTATCAACAATGATTAACAGTGATAAGGAGCTTACCATGTGCTAAGTACTGTCTGAAGTGCTTTACAGATGTGAAAACATTTAATCCTCCTAAGAACTTGAGGAAATAGGTATTATTTCATTTTTCTGATGAGGAAACTGAGGCACAAAAACCCCAACTAACTTGCCTAAGGTCACACAGATAAGAAGCGACAGACTTGTGCTTTGACCCTAAAAGTTTGGCTATGAAGACATTGTTCTAACACACCAACAGACAGACATTCCATTTGAAAAGACTCCTGACCAATACACATTACCATCTCTCATAGAAAAGTCTCACACCCCTTCTCCCCTCTCTCTTCAGGAAAACATTGCACTGCTGACACACCTCAGAAAATAGAAAGGAAAAGTAAAATGAACACTTCACCAAATAAGATATGGATGGCAAGTGAGCACATGAAAAGATGTTCAACATCACCAGCCACTGGGGCAATGTCCATCACAACTACGCTAATATGCCACTATACACCTATCACAGCAACTAAAATTATTTCAACTTACAATACCAATTACTGGCAAGAATGAGAAACAACTTGAGCTCCCAAAACATTGCTGATAAAAATGCAAAATAGTATGGCCATTTTGAAAACATTTGGCAGTTTCTTATAAAACACATTATGTGACCCAACAATTCTACTCTCAACTACTTATCCAAAAGAAACAAAAACATGTGTTCATACAAAAATATATACAAATGTTTAGCTTTAGCCACAACTGTTCCAACTGCTGGAAAACGAAGATGTCTTTCAGTGGGTAAAAAAATTAAGCAACTGTGATTTCAACCATGCCACGAAATACTCTACTACAACAAATGGAAGAAATGATTATACACACAACAGCATGATAAATACCAGAGGAAAAACACTAGACCAGAAAGACAAAACTACAGACAGAAAAGAGGTCAGCAGTTATTCGTGTATGGGAGAGTGATTATTATAAAGGGAATTAGGAGAGATGATGGATGTGCTTTATATCCTGATTGAGACAGAGGTTATATAACTCTGCGTTTGTCAGACTTATACACTGAAGTCTGAATTTTTACTATACACAAATTATCCCAAGGCTGACTGGCAAATACAAAATGGCACTGACATTTAAAGAGAGATCGACTGCAGCAAGCCTCTCCTCTGTTGTTCTTGAAGTCCATTTTTATGAATATATCATCCTAAGTGATAAATCTGCAAGCTGGGGAGTAACCAACATTCAGTTTTGATCCAAGCTATGTAAAACAAATTACTGCTCTGCCACTGGGCAGTAACACTAAAACTTAGCTGTCAGTTGATGCTAAATAAGGCCAAAGAATTTTTTAAAAATTCTAGCTATGTAAATTTTCTTTTGTGTGTTTTCTTTTCTGAGTTTGTTCCCAGGTTTGGTTATCATACATGTATTCTGCATAAGCATTTTACATGTAGAGAAGGCAGTTCACTGAGAACTGAAATAATAGCACTTTGTTGTGGAAAAATCTAGTTCCACATTTAAAATTCAGGGCCGGGAAGATAGCTCAGTAGAATAAGCACTTGCCTGGCAAGTGCAAGGGCCTGAGTTCAATACCCAGTTCCACAAAAATAAAAAAGAAAATTCAGAAAAAAGTAATATTTGCATCAGTAACAGGCTCATTAGCAACTCAAGAACTATTAGCCTACACAGGGTAGTCTTTTGAAGATACTATTTTTTAAAAGTACAGCTCAGGGGGCCGGGGAGATGGCTCAGTGGAATAAGCGCTTCCCTGGCAAGCGCAAGGGCCTGAGTTCAATCCCCAGTTCCGCAAAAAAAAAAA